GAACCTCCATTCTCATCTTAAGAAAGAAGACAATACACACCATTGAACTATTGGGAGTTAGTTGTCAAATGTTGCACAACATGATATTTATTGATATGTAATTGAACCAGTGGTTTTAACGATTTAACTGGTTAAACTGATCAAATCGAAACCTGGAGGTCAAAATGATTTAACCTCCAGGTCGGTTTTTAAAACACTATCTGACACTGTTCTTTACAACCCCTGTTGTACCCATTCATTTCCCATACTACACATGTCTATTATCATCAACATTCTATCTAATCTACTCATAGACGACCCATCTAGTCTATACCATGTGAATTTTTTATGTACCAATTTTAAATCAACCAACCCAATTGTTACAATGAAATCATCAAAATCCCTCATCTTTAGAGTCTCCCCTATTTTGACCTTTCTCTCTTCAAGACATCGAACTGCATTGAAATCACTTGCTATTAGCCATCGCTCCTTTTTGCGCTAAAATCCTATGCTAGAGCTCATTCCACAACTGCGCTTTCTTTTGCCTGTTATTAGGAGCATAAACATTCACAAAGCTGCACTTCACCTTCTCTATCCCCCATTCCCCTATAATCCCCAAATGACCATCTCCCTCAAACTCCCCTTACTTAACAAAAACAAACTTATTCCATACACACAACAACCCACCAGAGGCTCCGACTGATTTCTTGATAACCTAACCAAACTCATTTGTGTACCACAATGATCTACAAATACTACTCTCCACATTCTCTAACTTTGTCTCTTGCAAAAATAAACAATTTGGACGCTCCCTTCTAATTAATTTATCCACCTCCTTCCTCTTCATCCTTCCCCTAAACCTCTTAACATTGAAAGACATAAACTTCATAAGAGCACATAAACACAACCCCCATCATCTTAAGTACCCTAACATGGCCATCAATTCCTAACCTTCTTATCCTCCCGAAACTCCATCTCCAACATCCTAGATTGAGCTTCCCCTTCATTTCCTTGCAATTGAATGCTCAACCTTCTACCTACACTCATCATCTTCTTCACCTCAATTACATTCAATTCCCTTTGAATTACCTGGTTCCTATGAGTAATGCATCCATCTGATAGAGAATCGCTCCCAGCCCATCTCGCTTTGTGCTCTGCAATCTGTCTCTCTTTTTCTTTCCTTTGCCATCGCTATTTTGTTCTCACTATTACCCACTGTTTTTGTTTTTCTCCGCAATTGGCCATATCCCTGAATAGCACTCTTAGATGCTCTATTTCCTTTTCTCCTTCAAATCCCTAATCTCCAATTCATTTTGTGCATTTGACTTCTCCTCAATTACCGAATTGACCCTGCTTTGCTTTACCCCTCCTTATGATAATTTATCTAGCCCAAGCTCAAATTCTAGCCCATCCTCACTACACAGTACCAGCCTAATACTAGCAAGCCCATCTTCACCATCTATTTCAAACCCCTCCAATGTCGTTACCCTTTTTCCTTTTGAATTTGTATTTCCTTCCTTTTGTAACTGCGCCTCTTCAATACTGCCATAATCTTCGCCACATAACTCAGCATTAAATATGTCATGATCCTCGTCACCATCTTCTAGTGAAGAAGATTTTGATTCCGATTTTGATTCCGTTACCATGTCTTCCAACTAGGCATCATCCGATAGCCACCAATCTGGATTTACCCGCCATTCCTTCTCGACCAAAACAAGGTCACACAGTTGCTTATCCACTCTCAACTTCAAGGTCTTCGAAACCTTATTCATTTCAGAGCACAGAACCAACACTTTTTCATTACACAAGATAGACTTCGTTTTTGTATCATCATGAATAAGTAGCACTTTCTTAACTGAACCTTCAATCATCTCAAAGCACCTATCACACCAGGCTTTTAATGGCACCCTAGAAATTCGTAGCCATACCATTCTACACTTGGTTATAGGAGCTTCAACCCATGGATATATAGACTCAAACCAAAGATCAAATAACTCCTTATTTTGCTCCATATACTCATTCAAATACCCTTGCACTCGTTAGGTTAGCAACACACCTCTACCTCCTAATGGTGACATCGTCAGCAAGCCCTCATCCACATCAACTTTTTCTTAAATCCCAGTTATCAACGCCATCGACTTAACCACTACAACCAGACTCCCATCAAGCCACTTCATTTCCTCTTTTTAAGGAGAAACTTCAATAATCTCCTCCTGAGTCTATTCTTCTTTATCCTCACCCTTTTTAGCACCCACACCTTTCACCTCATTCTCCACGATTTCCTCCGTCTCTCTTCTCTTTCATGTCAGGAAACCTTACACCCTCATTGACCTCTTCAACCTTACCGAAGATTCCCAACACCGCTTGGGCATATGACATTCTTGGATGAACAAATCCTTGCATTTTGATCGGACTTATCCTTTCATCTATATTCCTATTTCCTGATAGTCTTTGATCCTGGTCATCAGCAACCTTGACCCTCACCTTATAGGAATCAAACCAAATGTCACTAAGCCTCCTCTCCATATGCTTAACATCCTATACCCCTTTGATTTGAGCAAACCCAAACCTTTTCCCCCATTTATCTTTCCTTCCTGGTATAACACATCAACAATGCAACCATACCTCCAAAAGCATTGCCACAGATCTTTTGCCTTCAAATCCTCTGGAAAGTTGTAGAAAAAAAAACATTTGTATCTGCCCAAGGAACCTGGAATCAAAACATGCAACCCACTGCTTGTTCTCATGCCATTGCCGTATGTGCCCTTGCTAACGTTCGAAACCATTGCCGACCCTAGCTATCGTCCCTCTTGCTCTAACCCTAGCACTCTCCATTTTCTATATCGTTAACAAACTTTAAAATGTAATTATATATACAAGATGCAGAAACTAGTTGAATCAACTGGACTTATATTATATTTTAATAACTGAACCAGGATAAAGGTTAAAAAATGTGTTGAATTAAGTGTGTACCAATTATTTTCTCTTGACTTTATATGATTTAGCATCTACTTAGGATACTTTAAAAACTTAAGATCTATTTGGTTCAACTTTTAAGATGAAATTGATAGCAAATAGCTAACTGTCAATATAGTTGATTACTACTAACTAATAGGTTTTTTTCCTCTTTTTGGCCTTCAAAACATAACTATCCATTAAAATAAATCTCAAAAGGTTCAAGTTACACAATCAAAAAAAGGGATAACTGTAGGTAACTCTAAAATAGGAAATAAAATAGAAAGAAAAGAGCTAAAAACCAAGTCTCCTAGGTATTAAAAGAATCATATACAAGAGAAAGGTTGCTCAAAGGTAGAACACCATTGGTTGAATCAGGGCTCACATATTTAGTATAAAGAAAGCTAGGAAGTCTTGACATAGGTAAAGAGCTAAAGCCAACACCATTGGTTAGGAGGATCTAAGGATGAAGCAACAATAGCACATTTCCATTCTTGAATCTAAAGAGAGAATCTTGTGGGAGACAAGAGGTTTTCCACCAAAGCAATTGAGTGAAGAAATGGAAAGACAATACTCTTGCTACCATCTCCATAAGTCTACTCTAAAGAAAAACCCTCTATACCAAAATACAAAACATGGAAAATGTACCTAGGCAAACTACCCCATTTTCAAACATCACACCCATAATCCACATGTCCAGGATTAGACTTATTCAAGGAACACATAAAAAAGTTAAAAAGATAATGGAGTCAAATAGTAATAAGCTTAATAAGCCCTACACCACCAAGGGAGATCCCTTCCTTTAGCTATAAAGGATTATGGAAATCATGGTATCATGGTGGTTAAAGGGCAACCACCAAACCAAGCAGCAAAACATCTCTTACCACCCAAAAAAAGCAATCATTTGTACCTATAGGTATATCCACAAGGTAGTTACCTTTACTTACTATGGCAATGATATCCTCTCTCTTATGCATGACCTCTTTCTTTCTAAACCTTTTGAGGACTGTGCTTCATAAGTAATGCTTTCTTTGGACAAGGTAAGGTCAAAGTATGAGTTTGTCTTAGCACATGATCAATCCTAAGCCCATGAATCTAAACCCAATAAGTAGTTGAAGAAAAGTTAATATCAAAGAGAGAATACCCAATCTCCCAATGCTTGACATTAAATAGAAAGCCTTCAATAGACCAAGGTGAATACTCTAAGAGATACTCCAAATCAAACTCATTAAAGAAGAAGACAGTGTATAGGTTCCTATCCACTTCATTTAAGTAATAAGGCCAAGCCTTTAGTATCAAGGATTGACTATTAGCTGTTAACTAATAGTTATTGTTGTTGTTATTGTTTATTATTAGTGTTTTGTAACATAGTTGTTAGTAGTTGTTTATAAGATGTTAAATTACCATTAAGGACATTTATATTATTTTATGTACATTATGTTACTCCTAATTATCTTTTTATTTATCATTTAATAACCAAATTATCTTTAGTCCTTTCTTGTGGGTGTACTGGGGCTTAGAAGGAAAGGCATCCATGATCAACATATAATGATGTGATTAGTTCCTAATGAGCATGGTATGTCCCTACGACTCTCAGTTCTTTACTCTCATTTATTTGTGTCAGTTCAATGGTGGCAAGGAAGCAATGATGTGCAATGGGAAGTATGGGAAGCGACCAGAGTGGTTCAAATGAGTAAGGTTGGTAGGCTTGATGGCAAGAATTGGTGGCATTGTAAGAGGCTTA